AGCCTCCCAAGCAGCTGGGATTACAGGCACACACCACCATGCCCAGTTAATTTTGTATTTTTAGTAGAGACAGGTTTTCACCATGTTGGCCAGTCTAGTCTCAAACTCCTGACCTTGTGATTCGCCCACCTCAGCCTTCCAAAGTGCTGGGATTACAGGTGTGAGCCACTGCGTCTGGCTTTTTTTTTTGTAAGATGTGTTAAGAAAAAAATTTTTTTTTTTTTTTTTTTTTTGAGAGGGGGGTTTTCACTCATGTTACCCAGGCTGGAGTGCAATGGCGCGATCTCGGCTCACGGCAACCTCCACCTCCTGGGTTCAGGCAATTCTCCTGCCTCAGCCTCCTGAGTAGCTGGGATTACGGGCACGCACCACCATGCCCAGCTAACTTTTTGTATTTTTAGTAGAGACGGGGTTTCACCATGTTGACCAGGATGGTCTCGATCTCTTGACCTCGTGATCCACCCGCCTCGGCCTCCCAAAGTGCTGGGATTACAGGTGTGAGCCACCGCGCCCGGCCAAAAAAAATTTTTTTTTTGAGATGGAGTTTCACTCTTGTTGCCCAGGCTGGAGTGCAGTGGCTCACTGCAACCTCCGCCTCCCGGATTCAAACAATTCTCCTGCCTCAGCCTCCTGAGTAGCTGGGATCACAGGCATGTGCCACCACACCCTGCCAATTTTATATTTTTAGTAGAGATGGTTTCTCCATGTTGGTCAGGCTGGTCTCAAACTCCCAACCTCAGGTGATCCGCCTGCCTCAGCCTCCCAAAGCGCCACGATTACAGGCATGAGCCACCAGTCTTGCCCATTCTACATCTTTTATGCCCTTCCAGTTTCTGCCTCTATTAGTTAACTGCCACACCCCTCTGAATCCTCAGGTTGGGTCTTCCCACCTCTTACCCTTCCCCTTCTCCAGTCCTGAACCACCATTAGGAAGCATTCCTCTCCATGCCTCACACCAGCCTTTTTTCCTCAACTTATTTAATTTTTTCCATCATCCAAATAGCTTCCCTTATTAACTCTACCTTGACAGGCACCACTGGTGTTCATGCCTGTAATCCCAGCACTTTAGGAGGCTGAGGTGGTAGGATTGCTTGAGCCCAGGGGTTCAAGATCAGCCTGAGCAATGTAGTGAGACTCCTGTTTCTATAAAAAATTATAAAATTAGCTAGGGCCTGGGTGCAGTGGCTCATTCCTGTAATCCCACCACTTTGGAAGGCCAAGGTGGGCGAATCACTCGAGGTTAGGAGTTCGAGACCAGCCTAGCCAACAATGGTGAAACCCCCAATAAAAATACAAAAATTAACTGGGCGTGGCGGTACTTGCCTGTAATCCCAACTACTTGTGAGGCTGAGCCAGGAGAATCACTTGAACCCGGGAGGGAGAGGTTGCAGTGAGCTGAGATCCTGCCACTACACTCCAGCCTGGGCCACAGAGCAAGACTCCATCTCAAAAATAATAATAATAAATAAGGCTGGGCGTGGTGGCTCACACCTGTAATCCCAGCATTTTGGGAGGCCAAGGCCGGCAGATCATGAGGTCAGGAGTTCAAGACCAGCCTGGCCAAGATGGTGAAATCCCGTCTCTACTAAACTCACAAAAATTACCCAGGCTCAGTGGCAGGCACCTGTAATCCCAGCTACTTGGGGGGCTGAGGCAGGAAAATCACTTGAACTTGGGTGGCAGAGGTTGCAGTGAGCCGAGATTACACCACTGTACTCCAGCCTGGGAAACAGAGTGAGACTCTGTCTCAAAAAAATAATAAATAAATAAAATAAAATAAAATTAGCTAGGTATGGTGGCTCATGCCTGTAGTCCCAGCCATTCGAGAGGCTGAAGTGGGTGGATCACTTGAACTGGGGGTGGGAGGCTGCAGTGAGCATGGTAGCATCACTGTACTCCATCCAGCCTGGGCAAGAGAGCAAGACCCTGTCTCAAAACAAATAAACAAACAAGAAAAATACCTACCTTGATCCTTTTCAAATTTCTTCCCTACCAGTCCACATGGTTGGGGAGCTACACTTCTGTTTCTTGTCTGCATTTCTTGAGTCATTCCCCTGTGCCCTACTTCGTTGCCTGGTGCAAGGAACATAAAGACCAATATGGCAAAACTAAAGACGCCAGGCACAGTGGCTCACACCTGTAATCCCAGCACTTTGGGAGGCCGAGGCGGGCAGATCACAAGGTCAGGAGCTCAAGACCAGCCTGGCCAACATGGGGAAACTCTGTCTCTACCAAAAATACAATTAGCCAGGCGTGGTGGCATGCATCTGTAATCCCAGCTACTTGGGAGGCTGAGGCAGGAAAATTGCTTGAACCAGGGAGACAGAGATTGCAGTGAGCCGAAATCACGCCATTTCACTCCAGTCCAGGCAACAGTTAGAGATTCCTTCTCAAGAAGAAAAAAACAAACTAAAGAGATAATTATGGTACAATGTGGTAAGGGCAATTGTGCTCTCTCTATGAGACTACAGGCTTTCCAAAAGTGGGGAAGTATGTCTCCATGATCTGCATCCTGGGTTGGGATCTGTGTCATTGCCAGTGAGCGAAGAGGAGGAAATAGGCTCAGACAGAGTATGTAACTATGTAACTTAAGGTCTGGGCTATTTTTTTTTTTTAGACAGAGTTTAGCTCTTGTTGCCCAGCCTGGAGCACAATGGTACAATCTCAGTTCACTGCAACCTCTGCCTCCTGGGTTCAAGAGATTCTCCTGCCTCGGCCTCCCAAGTAGCTGGGGTTACAGGTGCCCACCACCACACTTGGCTAATTTTTGTATTTTTAGTAGAGATGAGGTTTTACCATGTTGGCCAGGCTGGTCTTGAACTCCTGACCTCAGGTGATCCACCTTCCTCAGCCTCCCAAAGTGTTGGGATTACAGGCATGAACCACCGCACCTGGCCTGTGCTGAGACTTGAACTCAAACCTATGTGATTCTGGAGGGCTCTTGCCAGCAGCATAAGCTGGAGTGAGTCATGGCCAAGATCAGGCAGTTTGAAGCCAGCTCAGCCACTGTCTACTGACCATCTACCTCTCAGCCATGGTCCCTGACCTCAGGCCCAGCCAGGGATGACTCACTGGAAAGTAGGAGAGTGGCTGTGGCTCTGGGTCAGCCTAAAGTACCATTTTATTGCCATTATTATCTCTATCTTCATTAGCCAAATCGTTGACTGCCTATTACGTAGTCAGACAGCTGACGCATGCTGCGCCCCGCAATAACTCCACCCTGTCCTTGGGGCGTTCGAATATCCTAGAACCTGTGATGCCAGCAAAAAGCCAACGCCCACTATCCATCCATTCATTCCATCACTCAACAACTCTCAACCTCCACTTATACCAACCTGTGGGGAACGCTCCCGTGTGAGGCCCCCTGAAAATGGGCCTCACAATACAGAGGGCTCAAGCCCAGACACAGTGTCTCCAGTTGAGGGAGTCGAGCTATTGGAAAGCAGGAACAGAGAAAGACTTAGGTTAAAGTTAAACTTGTGGGCAATCGCCAGATGGCCATGCAGTCACGAGATGCATTGTGTACGATGATTGAGTTTTCTACTAAGTCATGTTTTACGACTTTGCTGATTTTTCTCTAGAAGATAAATGACTTACCCTTAGATGAGATAGTGTGACCACCTGTTCTGGTTAATTAAATGACTTGCCCCTAGATGAGATAGTGTGACTACCTGTTCCGGTTAATTGTGTATCTGACCTTTCCATTGTTCTTACCCTATGGTGTTGATTTTTCTACTTTAAAACTTTCTGTACCCTTTGTCTCACGTAGACACATACCTAAAAAAGATATATATACTGACCCTGAGCACGAATAAAGTTGTTGGTAAAGCATATGCTTTTCAACCCTCCAGACCCCATCTGTCTATCATTCCTTGTCTTCCGCGCACCCCCCTAACCAAGTTGGAACCCTCTTGCAGATCGAGAGCTCCTGGCAGACGTGCTCCCGATACCAACCCCTATGCTAGATGCTGGGGCAGCGGACACAGAATAAATAAGATACGTTTCCTACTCTCAAGAAACATCTCCTCTGTGGCAGAGGAAGACACATAAGTAATTGTAACGTAGAGTGATCTGAACTGTGATGGGGGATATACAATAGGCAACAGGAGAGATTAAATCTGCCTGAAGGTGGGAAAAATGCTTCACCCAAGTGGTGACTGGTTTGAGCTAAAGAGAATGAATACGGTTTTGCTAGGCAAACCAAAGGATGGGCATTACAAACAGATATATGCAAAGGCACAGAGATGTCAGAGAGCAAGGGGTGCTTAGCTAACTGCAAGTGATGTGTGGGGCACAGGGTAACAGGAAATGGGCCTGAAGAGATAACAGGAAACACCTCATAGAACAAGAGAGCAGAGAAAGGAAATCCCAAGGAAACTGATGAAGGTGACAACGCTAAGGTCTCAGGCGAGTCAGAGTTAAAAAAAAGAAGACCTCCATTCGGCAAAGCCTGAATCCTGTCCTCTCGCTCTCTTCCCCGGCCAGCATGAGCTTCACCACTCGCTCCACCTTCTCCACCAATTACAGGTCCCTGGGCTCTGTCCAGGCACCCAGCTACAGCACCAAGCCGGTCAGCAGCGCAGCCAGCGTCTACACAGGTGCCAGTGGCTCTGGTTCCCATATCTCTGTGTCCTGCTCCACCAGCTTCAGTCCATGGGCCTGACCAGGGGGATGGCCGGGGGCCTGGCAGAAATGGGAGGCATCCACAACAAGAAAGAGACCATGCAAAACCTCAACGACTGCCTGGCCTCCTACCTGGACACAGTGAGGAGCCTGGAGACCGAGAACTAGAAGCTGGGGAGCAAAATCTGGGAGCACCTGGAGAAGAAGGGACCCCAGGTCAGAGACTAGAGCCATTACTTCAAGACCATAGAGGACCTGAAGTCTCAGATCTTCACAAATGCCTGCATCGTTCTGTAGATCAATAATGCCCATCTTGCTGCTGATGACTTTAGAGTCAAATATGAGACAGAGCTGGTTATGTGCCAGCCTGTAGAAAGCGACATCCATGGGCTCCGCAAGGTCACTGATGACATCAATGTCACTTGGCTGCAGATGGAGACAGAGATCGAGGCTCTCAAGGAGGAACTGCTCTTCATGAAGAACCACGAAAAGGAAGTAAAAGGCCTACAAGCCCAGACTGCCAGCTCTGCGTTGACCGTGGAGGTAGATGCCCCCAATCTCAGGACCTCACCAAGATTATAGCAGACATCTGGGCCCAATATGACGAGCTGGCTCAGACGAACCGAGAAGAGCTAGACAAGCACTGATCTCAGCAGATTGAGGAGAGCACCACAGTAGTCACCATGCAGTCTGCTGAGGTTGGAGCTGCTGAGATGATGCTCATGAAGTTGAGACATACAATCCAGTCCTTGGAGACTGACCTGTACTCCATGAGAAATCTGAAGACCAGCTTGTAGAACAGCCTGAGGGAGGTCAAGACCCACTACGCCCTGAAGATGGAGCAGCTCAACAGGATCTTGCTGCACCTGGAGTCAGAGCTGGCACAGACCCGGGCAGAAGGACAGCACTAGGCCCAGGAGTATGAGGCCCTGCTGAATATCAAGGTCAAGCTGGAAGCTGAGGTCACCACCTACCGCCACCTGCTGGAAGATGGAGAGAACTTCAATCTTGGTCATACCCTGGACAGCAGCAACTCCATGCAAACCATGCAAAAGA